ACATCTTAAGGAGAAGGAGGAGACCACAGAGTGTTAGGTGATGGTTAAAAGAGAAGAGGAAAAAGGAAACAGCAAATAGGAAGAAGCCAAGTCATATGAAGTATGAAATGGTAGAAAAGACATGATGGTGACAGATTCACTTACAGGGTTTAGTAACTGCTGAGAGGACCTCAGGTCATAGAAAAAACTGGCAGCTGACAGACAAGGCTACCAAGGAAAAAAAAATAATTTCTACCCGCCCCCAGTGTCCCTCCACAGCCAAAGTCCTGCTCAGCAGCACGTACACATCCAGACAGAGGGGCCGACTGGTCTGCAATATCTCACCTCCAGACTCCTGCTTTGTCCACACACACCAGAGACCGGATATCTCCTTAGTCACCAGCCACTTTTTCCTTCTCCCCACTCAATCCCTCTGCTTCTTCCCTTGTGCCCCCTACGTGTCATGACAACTCAAAATGTCTTACTGGCACAAGCTTGAAGGAAACCACCTAAGAAATCGTTCAAAATTTGGCTAATTTGTCTGAGACTGTCACATTAGTCCTTTGTTGTTAAGGTGAGTCATCTCCTCAGTAGTTATGATCCAGTAAAAGCAATCGTATTAGTTTCATTATTACATAAAAGCCATCATTTTAAAAAGTGAGTGCTAAGTGTTATGTGGCAGACTTCTTCATCATATGTTAACATGACAGCTTGATGTGCAGTCACACCAGCTGTACAGAAACAGTAGCACCTACTGGACTACAGATGCCACCTCACACCAAAGAAAGCATCAAGCTGGTATTAGGTATTAGTCAGCACATAAATCAAATGTAACACACAGCTGCTGATGTGTGGATAAGCACATTTTGGCTGGTATGATTCTAAATGCTGTAAGGGCCGAGCGCATCTACATTAAACATGTTTCGGTCACAATACAGATAATCTGGTGTTAATATAAAACCTACATCCTTCAGTGGGTGTCATGAAGAAAAGATGTGGGAAAAGATAAATCAACACTTGTAGGGTTTTAATAGCAGCTATTAGAATAATATTCTCAAAACAAGCAGACATTATGTTGTTAGGTGTTGAGCACTCATTTAGTTAACACATTTTCAGTGGTCCCTAGAAGGAACTAATGCCTTGTAAATCATACGGGGAGGGGGGTATCACCACACTTCAGCTGGAGGAAAAACTAGCTTCAGATGGCAGGATTTAGTCTTATTTCCTGATATTTGGACATCTCGCCTCTGATTGGCTAACAGTCACACGACTCTACCTCTCACTTTAGTTGCTTTGCAATGTTAATGCTTTATCTCCACAAATAACACGCCTAGAGAAGTTCTGCCATGTGGTGGAGTTGCTAATGCTAATGGTTAGCTTATACTAGTCAAGACGTTTGCTGCCGTTTCCTGGACTCTAATCCAACAACTGCCATCCACGTCACGAGCAAAGATGTGCGAGTCCATGAACATTCAGTGACAGTGTGAAGTACGAGTCCATGAACATTCAGTGACAGTGTGAAGTAGGAGTCCATGAACATTCAGTGACAGTGTGAAGTACATCTGTGATTGCAATCAGACACAATCCCTTCACGACCCTGTCTTCAGCTGCCATTGACAAAAAAACATCAATGTAATCTGAGGAAAATACATAAAGATGCTTCACCGATTCTTCTTTAAGCAGTAGCTCAACAGGTTGAATGGGTTGTCCAATAACTGGAAGGTTGCAGGTTCGATCCCGGCTCCGGACAGAGAATTCTGCTGTTGTGTCCTTCAGCAAGACACTTAACCCACCTTGCCTGCTGGTCAGAGGGACCGGTGGCGCCTGTGCTCGGCAGCCTCGCCTCTGTCAGTACACCCCAGGGCAGCTGTGGCTACATCGTAGCTCATCCCCACCAGCGTGACTCTGTGTGTGTGAATGGATGAATGATACAATGTAGTGTAAAGCGCTTTGGAGTCCTCTGACTCTGAAAGGCGCTATACAAGTGCGGGTCATTCATAATTTATGTCTGCTGAGAGATATTTCATTCACCCTGTAATGGGCCATTTTAGCACATACTGCAGGGTTTCCCCCAGCGCTTTATAAGCCTGGCGGCCCGCCAGGCTTTGCTTGGCCACCCGCCAGGCTAAGCGTCATGCCCTGCCCCCCTCCCTGACCCTACTGAGTCCGCTGACATGCAACAAAACTAAAGCCCTCCATCAGCTGATACTGACGAGAAACAGCAGCGGAACGTGTGCAACCCCCCCACCCCCACTGAGGAGCGCTGCTGGACGGAGCGCGTGAACCCCGGCTGACGGACGAATCCGCCAGGCTAAACTCATTTTCTGGGGGAAACCCTGTACTGGCTTAAGAAACAACAATAGTTTTAATCTGTAGAAGAAAAAACTGTTTATCTGCCTCAGTGACACACCTCGGGCCTTAGAAAACAAAAACAGGCTGAAAAAGGCTAGAGTAACAAACTGAAGAGGACACAAGGACAATCTATTAAAACAATCTTTACTTACCTAATCAATACTTGTACTATCAGCATACACTCTTCAGGATGAGTTTATTATTGATTTTTCTGGGTAAAACCTCACATAAAACATACATTACCTAAATGTTTTCAATGTGATGAACATCAACTTGATCACAACTCTTGGTGGCACCTGGGCTTAGAAGATTAGCCATATTTGGTAAACAAAAACTTTGTAGGAATCAAATTTAATTAACTATAATCATTATAACCTGTTATTCCTATAAAATATAAAATAGACAACCAACTCATGGTTTTTGTGTCCATTTCATAATTATTTTCTACCCTCCATCTCCTACGTGGTGTGAATCCACAGATCAAATACTTGCCCTCTGACCCCTGAATGCTTCTGTCATTACAGCCTGACATCGGATGTGAGAGCAGGGTTATTGTGTGTGTAGGTTAACATTCCTGAGAGGCCACATGATGTCCGACAGAGTCTGAGAGCAAAGGGAGGAAGCGCGCGCGCGCACACACACACACACACACAAACACACACACACACACACACACACACACACACGAATAGGTTTTATATATCCCAGGGCTATTTGGATGCCTATTCTAGCTCCAGGAAAAAGGGAAGTGACTGTTATTTTGAAGTGTGGAATACAGAGCCTGATTTTGGATGATGAAGTTTCACTATTACGTGGATGAAAGACAAAACGCTTGTAATTACAAAAAAAAGCAGCGTTAGCCTATGCCCCCTATGGTTTAAAATAAAAGCCCAGTAGGTGGGATATTTTATCTACCTAACACTGATGCTTGCTAACGTCATTAAGAACAGGAAACTGTCATCGGCCTTGTTAGAATAAGAAACACCTCCACGAATAAAAACGGTAGATATTTAAGACAAACCTTCTTGGAGCCTGAAGCACAAAACTCACAGGACAGTAAGTGAGGAGGAGTAAGTAAAGCCTGCAAAATGGTGACAGGATGAAGATGGTCCCAGTAAGAAAAAGCATCTCTGACTTTCTGTCCTTGAGCTCACACACATTTGACTCTAAGTAACCTGACAAACTCCACAGACTCTCTTTTGCTTTTGAACAGAAACAACGTTCTGGGAACTGATGAACAAGCCACAGTGTAGCACAGCTTAGACCCATCTTAGCTGAGGCACCATTAAAGTTAAATAGTGAAGCTCAAGAGCCAGAAGGGGAAGGGAGGAGGAAGACACTGGAGCACCGTCACCGTGACAGCAGGGCAGGAAGAGAAAGAAAAACACCAAGAGAACTGAATAGTTTAAAAGTTATCACTCCAGTGTCTAACACCTTTACACTGCTGCTGAATCAAACACACACGCAGAGGTATGATGACATCAGGAAGCTGTTATTGTGTCTACCCTTTTGACTGCAGGACATGCAGTACTGAAAGAACTTGGATCCGTATTTAGTCACCACTCAGTGCTCCTGATGCAGATGTCAGTGAAACAATAAGCTGGTGTGTTCCTTTAAAACAGTCACAGTACAGTACTTATACATTACAATTAAAAAATCTAGCTAGATATATATAAATCTACTTATAACTTTGAGCTGTTTTTATTGTGAGTGAGTGTTAAACACGGTCTTGATATTTGGGCTCAGGCTGTCTTGGGTTCCTGTAACCACTAGGTGGCGGTAAAATATTGCATTGTGAGTTCTTTGTAGAGCCACGTTACCACTGGGTGTCCTCAAAGATTTAAAATTAAATACCCATTTCATTTCTTTATATGTATAAAAAGAAAATATTGTGTTTTGTTTAGCAATTGTTTCTGACAGGATATGTGTGTTTTCCCTGAATAAAAAAATATTAAAGATTTCTTTTCTAGAACTGTATTTCTTTATGTATTAATCCATGTATGGACTGCAGAGTGTCTATGCAAAGGAGACAGTGTCTTGATGTCCACACACTAAAAGCTTAGAGGCGCCTGTACTTCCTGTGCCCGATGAGAAGAGCTGTCCTTCCCCCTCACATACTCACCACCATCCAGAGACAGCATGAAGAACCCAGCTGCAGGAGCTTTGGGACCAACGCAGGACCAAAACATTCACCAGATTGTCTGCATTTCTAACTTTTTAGGGTTTGGTTTCCTTTTATAAAATTTCTAAATTAATATTTTTTCCTCAACAAATGTTAAGAATTTTTGCATCCCTTCATTTTTCTTTCAAATTAGTTTTGTTTGAATAAACTTTGTTAGATTTCTTTTAATCTAGTTTGAGTCATTACAACAACACTTAGCTTATCGTGTGGATTGACTGAAAAAAAAAATACATTTTTACCTATATGATAATTTAACCACATTAAACCTCATTTAACACTGATTTGAGCTCCACCTGATCACCAAAAGCTCCATCTTTCTACACCACTAGGGGTCACTCTCCAACAGCTAGAGAAAATCACAAAGTGACTCGTTTTGAAGTTAGTAGAGCCACATTCACATTTGTTTAAACATGAAAAGTTTGATTTCACACCAGAGTGGATTTAGTTTCACAACAAACACACACAACAAAAAAAATCTGTAACTTACAGAGCGCAGATGTGGCAGGAACCCTTCTAGGCTGTTCATGTCAATACTATCTTCTTCTGCAAACTTGTTTTTGCTCATGCTGAAAACGTGGATGAACACAGACAGACCCAGCAGATTTTATATGAATGTTACCACATCAATGAGATCAATAGGAGTGACCAAAATAACTTGCAGAGTCAAATCAAAGCTTTCTAATAAATGAACCTCTCACCCCTCTCTGTCGATGTGTGGCAGGTGCTTTGGCATCCCTCTGAATTGTTTCCTGTGAAAGTGACTGAAGTCCAGCTTCTCTGGCTGCACATCCCAGCCTGCACCTCTACAGCAGAATCACAGAGATACAGCCGTTTTTAGCAAAGAGCATCAAAATCACTGCAGAGGAATTTAAGATGGTCCAACATCTGCCTTCTTTACTCAGATGAGTTGGATTTAAACTAGAATAATATATGTGTTATAATATACGTGTTTATGGAATTTATCTTTGCTTTGAGCTGACAAGCTTGTGTTTGCCAGTGTAACTCTCTTGAAATAAAAAGTGAGTTTTCTCCAAGGGTAATGAGCATTAAGGATAATCTGTCCTATTTTTAATCACACAGACTTAATTAGAAGCTCAGAAATGACTTAAGTAAAATCATTTGTTGCCTGTGGGAGTGCAGAGATGCTCAGATCATCCCACTGATCTGACTGCAAGCTCAAATGTGCCAACGTGGCCAGATCTTGGGTAGGTGACGTTGTGTTACAGGCTACCATGGCTACCCAATCATCCTTTAATGCCACTGATGTCGATCTATTTTCCCTCAATCCAACCAATCAGCGCAAATTTTGGATTAAACGTGTTGAGTTGAAATCAGATGGATTTGTGGTCTTTGTTTTCAGAGTTTCTATGAAGTTTTTAATCCTTGAGTTCTCAGAACAGGCAGACTAGTTTATTTCTAGATGTGACTAAATAGATAAAAACTATCTTCAGCCCCCAAAAACCTAACTGTGTTTTTAAAACACAGAAGTATTTATTTTTTTTTTTTTTTTTTTTGAATTTTTACACATGAAAATGTAATAATAATAAAATGTAGGCATCATCAAGCCTCAAGCTCTGAATAAAACAACTGAAAACCAAGGCAGGTAGAGAGCTGAAACAGTCTTTTATGATCTGTTACAATGTAAAGGGCACACAGGCTAAACAGATGAGACAACACGTTTGTCACATGATTCAGAAGCAATGTTTGGAAACATGAGGTACTCACCCACATGAATCCATTGTGTTTGCAGCCCATATGTCCGTCCCCAAGATGTCAAAAGAGACATCTCTGTTCCCATTCTAGGACAAAACACGGGAATCAGCATTTAGAAACTCCACACATCTTAAAAAAAAAATCACACCCTTGTTATTGATTTTAGATATTCCAGCAAGTGCTGCTGCATCAAAAATTAAAGCCACTGCATTTTCCTGCTCCCATTCCAACTTTTATTTTTGTTTTACTGACCATTGTATCTTTCAAAGATTAATGTTTTCCCCTTAAAAAAATATTCCTGAAGTAAAAATGAGTATAACGTCATGATTAGAAGCCACAAAATACACTTTGGTACCATGGGAGGGCCTTTGAACTGGTTGTTTCGGCCCCTGCTGCCGGAGCGAGAGCCAGATCCAGGTCTGGACCCTGAACTGGGCCTAGAACCAGTACTGCCGTTGCTGCTGTGTTCCCATTCATCCTGCAGCAACAAGAGCAAACAAGAAAAACACTGTTGAGTGAAGGAAACTTCATGAAACCGTAAAAGAAAAATCAAACACTATAAATGATAAGATGGTAAACATGGTCTGAATTAAAAATGACAGCTGGGACTTTTAAAAGTTGATAATCATCTGATAACACCTTCGGTTTCAGGCCCTTTATGCATTCTGAACCTTCCACTACAAAAAGTGTTTGCTCATTTAAAGCATCTTGCTACAAACTTAGTTTAATAGTAAAAATAGTCAGTGGAATTAAAATGTGAAAAAGCTTCTTAGTCAGTTTTAGGAAACACATTAAAACAGCAGCAGCTGGACTCAACACCACTCAAAGTGAAGAGCTGTGAAATACCCAGGGCTGCTGTTACCACTCTCCTCTCATCATATGTTTAATATAAACAGTTAAAACACCAATTACTGTAGCAATTCAGGTAACATGAAGGTGGAGGGAGAATCAGGGCTAAAGAGCTCATTAAACTTTTGAATCTTAAATAGCTTTTACAAAGACGATATAACAGATGAGAGAAACTGCCACCAGGAGTCAGGCCATATAAAAATTTGTTTTTGTGCTTGGAAATAGAAAATGAACAAAATGAAGGCATATTTTCTAGACCACTAATGTATTTTGCCCTCATTCTATCTCACACATCAGTTTAGCTTTCAGGAGTTGAAATGCACGTCATTTAGGAGGCAAAAAATACAATTAAAATACCCGTCTCTAGTTAACCCCCTGACGCCGGTGATATAATAAGCCGTTTTGAAAATAATTTCGGCCAATGGCCGACATAGAAGAAATTGAATACATCGGCTCGACATATCGGCTGGCCTCTACAATAAAACATTCAAAGGAGAAACCGGATTCCAACTCAACACAAGAATTATAGAACATAGAATGGAGTGTGAGAAGGAAACAAGCCAAAGACACACAAGAGTAGCAAGACAAGAAGCAGAAAGCACAGTAAAGAAATCAGCCGTAATGGACCACTGCACAAGGGAGAATCATATAATGGACTGGGACAACACAAGGATCATAAACATGAAACAAAAAAATATAAAAGATGGATTAAAGAAGCCATAGAAATACGGAGACGTGGGCGCGGAACCATGAACAAAGACGATGGGGTCTACACATTAGATCATGCATGGAACTGCGTCATCGGTGAGGAGAGCGTGGGCAGCAGAGGGCGACACCGTCCTCTGCTGCCCGTGGATAAATGGAGAAGGAAGTGATGTTGCTTTTAGCAGCTAACTCTGATGAAGATCGCAGGAGTGGCTGAAACTGTCAGCATGGTAAAAAAAAAACCTTTCCTGTGTTTATGAGTCGACGCAAGAGCTCTCCGACGAGCTCGCAGAGGGTGACTGAGACAAATCCATCGAAAGTGACAGAGACAGCAAGCTTGTGATTGGTCAGGATGCAGTTTTCCTGTAATTTTGTCAACAGCACCGCCTATGCCCTCTCAAAAAGTAAAAATATCTAGCGGCAGACACAGAACAGATTGAAGAATGCATTGTGGAAAATGTCTGAAAATATGAACGTTTGTTCACCCGAGACTGAAGGAGTACAGAGATATGCAGCAAGCGTTTATTCATGGACGGAAAAAAGAAGAAACGTGAGTTTAAAGGTGCCGATGGCATGGAGAGGTGTATGAGGGACTAATTTCTTCATGTTCAAAAGTCTCTGAAATACATTAAAATGATGTGAACACAATAGTAGATTGTAGTAGATAGTAGTAGGCACTATTGTGGACCGGATACGTGACTGTAATGGTGGCAGGATGCCTCAGAATAGCACTACGCCCTCTGTTGTCCTGATGTGGGGAATTGTTTTGCAACTATCCCCAGCTGACAGAGATGTCCGAGAGCAAGACGTCTCTGTCAATGCGTGTGTGTCTCTCACTCGCAGAGTTGACGGAGAAGTATAGATTAGGCTTTATTGCTGAAATGTCTCCCCAGCCTTCATTAGTTTCCACAGGAGTGATTCATCACTAAATCAGCTGTGTTCATGATCTAAAACATGCGGAAAACATGATGGAAGCAAACTGCTGCGCCAAGTATGTCAGCTCCATTTTTTCCTAAGTCCAACAGATGGTGGCCACCAGTCTGAAGTTGCAAATGCGATTTTCTGGCCACAGGGGGCGGTGGGGGGTCTGAGTGACATTTTATTAACCTTCTAAAAGGTCACTTTCGCACATGCTGGCTCAAGACAAGGATTTTACAATATGAAAAATTTGCATAGTATGACTTTAAAACATGATAGTTGTGTTTTATCTGCTGTTGTTTATGACAGGAATAAAGCTACCTACCGGTTTTAAATCAGAAATTTTCATCAAAACTTACAGGTTTGGAGGAACCTCTTCCATGTGATGATGTCCAGCTACCATCTCTCTTGTCAATGTCATCTGTCCACTGGAACAAAATAAAATAACTTAATAAGATTTCTGACTTAGAACTTACATCAATGCCTTGAAGATGTGATTCACTGAGCAGTTTAAATAAAG